CAGAAAGACAGATATGGTATGTACTCACTCATTGGTGGATTCTAGATATAAAATGAACAATCAGACCACAACCCATAGAACCATAGAGGCTATATATATAGCATGGAGGTCCCTAGGACGACTGTGGCATATAATAAATTTCAGTTTTACTCAATTATTGGAAAAAAAATAACCAAATGAATGGAAACACATGAACTATGAACCAAAGACTGAGGGGCTCCCAGCTGGATCAGGCCCTCTGAATAGAACCATTTTTCAATCCTTGTTCATCATCTGTGCTACCCTGAGATTGATTGTCTTTACAGAGAAAGCATGAAGAACTGGTAAGCCAGGTTGTATCTGTGCCAAAGGACTTCAGGGTGTAATTATTTGATTATGAAATGTTTTATACTCTGCTGAACTCTCTTTTAAAAAGATCTCATATTTTGTTCTCATATTTGTTTTTTTTAATAATTCAAGACCACAATAAAACCTTGATTCTAAAAAAAAAAAAAAAAAAAAAAAAAAAAAAAAAAGAATTACAAAAACTTGTGACTTGGTCTCACCCAAACTATGGTCTTCTAGTATTCTCTAAGTAAAAAGAAACCCTTCAAAGTGGTCACACTTAGTATGTTTGGGAAGCTGAGGCAGCAAGATACTGAGTTCAAGGCCAGCTACATAGTGAGACTGTCTCCACACACCAAAACAAGTAAGCAAAGCCCTCAAAGGGATCTTCCCTACTAGCAATCTGCACAAGGGCACTTTCAACCTGAATGGAGATTCTGGACTTAGCCTGTATGACATTTACTAGCCTTCATTCATAGCTCTGGACAGGCTAACCCCAAATAAAATGACAAATTAACCGTTGGCCAAACAACTGAGGCCCACTCACTTTGGTTTTCGCCACAGCTGAGTGAAGCTGACTGTATTCTAAGTACCTCAGAGATCACCAGAGAAACAAGGGACAGGAGCGGCAGAGGGTTCACCATACGCTGCAGAAAAGTGCCCAACTGTTCACATGGACATGGTCCTTCAGGTTATTTGCTGCTGAGCAAATGCCAATTTTGTTCTCTTGTGGGAATCTTGAGAGTAACTTCAGTGTTTTAAGGGCAGGAGTTTTTATAGTGTCCAACACTTTGCAGAATTTTCTCGTATGTTTGCAGTATCTCACGACATTTTCACAATAAATTTACAGAATAGGTTAGCAAAATCATTCCCATTTTACCAAGAGAGAACAATTTACATGTGGTCAGTGATCATCACAGTATCCCCAATATAAATGGAGACAGAAGTACAACCAGAATGAATACTCTTGGCTTTTTCTTGAGAGACTCAGATACACCTTTACTATCTGAGCACGACTCATGGGAAAATCTGAGATTCAAAACATCTCATAGTTTTGCAAAATCCAAACTTCCTAAGCAGCACTCAAATGAGAGTTTACATTTGACCTCCACCAAGAATAAGCAGAATACACTAACTACTGTGCAACAAGAACTGAACAATTTTACCCAAACACAATCTAGAGGAGGCACATTCCTGCAATCCCAGGAGAGGCTGAAGCAGAGGTTATCACAAGCTCAAAGACAACCTGAGCTATATCTCATCTGTCTGTCTGTCTTTCTGTCCATTAAGTTTAAAATCAGAACAAGCGAAACTAAACCAAAAGCTCCCAGGCTCATCCTCATCAGAAAATTCTGTCACCCTAGTACTTAACACATCCCTTAGATGTATCCTGCTTCCTTGAGGTTGTCCAGAAGCACCAGGAGAGAGAGGTTGCTTGTATTTGATCTAGATTGTTCTCATCTAGAACCCTAAGGACAGCAGCGGGCTGGACAGGGAAGAATGGGCAGCTGTATGACCCTGCTTGCTACAGGTACTATGTTACCTTAAAAACGCCCCAGGTAAGCAGAAATGAAGTTGAAACACCCTGTGTGTCACAGTCTTCCAGAAGGACAGCATACCTGTAACCGCTGAACCACACCAGCCCGCAGGTTTCCAAATCCATAGTGACACTGTGATTGCAGAGCACTTTCTGAGACCTCTTCATAGGGAGTCTGCTCAATTTCCCAGTCAAAATCTGAATCCTCGTCGTCAGCTCCTTCCTCAGAAACACCAGAAGCACCTAAATGTGTTAAACATAAATTTTTTCCTTAAAATACCGAGGTCTCTAGGTACAATGAGAGGAAGAAGTTGCTACAGGGGAAAGGCCTACCACTGTGCACCAAAGGCATAGAGAAGAATATTCACAGCTCCACTGCTCATGATGGCCAAAAAGTAGAACCAGCCCAAAGATTCACCAACAGTAGGAGGTATAAACTCACAAAACCATCTATCATACAGTGATGAAGATATATATATATATACAGACCTCTGCTGTAACATAGATACACCTCATAAAGAATATTGAGTGTAAGAAGCCAGATGAAAGGCCGGGCAGTGGTGGCGCACACCTTTAATCCCAGCACTTGGGAGGCAGAGCCAGGCGGATCTCTGTGAGTTTGAGGCCAGCCTGGGCTACCAAGTGAGTTCCAGGAAAGGCGCAAAGCTACACAGAGAAACCCTGTCTCGAAAAACCAAAAAAAAAAAAAAAAGAAGCCAGATGAAAAGGAACATACTCTATGGAACAATTCTGTACGCAACTCATAATCAGGCAAAGGGGAGGGTACTGGTGGTCTGGGAAAGAACAGGACACAGTACCTGGGAAGAGCATGGGTGAGATTCCTGGGATATTGGAAATAAATAAACACTATAGTTTGTGACCTAGCAGGTATTTGTATTGTGTAATGCTTTCAACTATACACTTCTGATAAGACAACGTTTCAAAGTTTTAATTGACCAAAAAAAAAAAAAAAATGTGAGTGGTCTACTGGTCCACTACCAGTTATGACTTCTAATTGCAATACCAGGTAAGCTATTTTCACATTAACCTGAATCTTTCCTTTTTCTTTTCTTGTCTTGAACTTTTTTTTCATCCAATTTTCTAGGCCCAAGCCTCTTCCCCTAGAAACACAAAATATTACAAACATTCCTACTTATCTTCATTTGCTCCCAACTATGGTAAACATACCTATTTCTTCCACAAGTGGTTTGGCAGACCTGGACTTTCTTGGGGCCAGAAGAGCAGTTAACATGTTCAGCCCCTCAAAATGCTGGCCAGGAGTTTCCTTGGGCAATCGAATGGTAAAAATTCCTTTAAAAGAAATTGTTTTATATTTAGACAGATAAAAATACTCAAAGACTTCATAAGTATATATAAGAGAAATGCAAGTATGGTTAATATATAATTCTATTAGGAAAAAAAAAAACCTTTGTTAACTATATATCTGAAGAGAATTAATATCCAGAACATATAAAGAACTCCGGCTGGAAAAATGGCCCAGTTGGTAGTGATTCTCACACAATCATGAGGATCTAAGTTTGTATCTCTAGCACACATACAAAAAACCGAACACATCAAATACCTATAATCCCAGTGCTAGAGAAGTGGACACAGAAGGAACCCTGGAGTTTGCTGGCCAAGCTGAAACAGCAAGCTCCAGGCTCAGTGAAAGACCTTGTCTCGAAAATTAGGTGGACTGTAATGGAGGAAGACACCCTAAGTCAACCTCTGGTCTATACTCACATGCATATACACGCACAAACACATACAGATACAAGCCTGTAGCAGGCGTTCTCTCCAGCCTAGATTCCTCCTCCTAGTTATTCTCTCTGCTGGCCAGCCCTGCCTATTCCTCTACTACCTAGCTATTGGCCATTCCGCTTTTTATTAGACCAATCAGGTGCCTTAGGCAGGCAATATAAAACAGCAACATATCTTTCCATAATTAAACAAATGCAGCATAAACAAATGTAATATCTTTGCATAGTTAAATATTCCACACATAAGCAAATGTAACACATCTTTATATAGTTATAAGTAATACTCCACAGCACAAACCACACTTAACATACATATTCACACAAAGAAACAGACAAAAAAAAAAGAAACCAAATGGCAAATAAACACATAAAACTGCATCCTTAGCTAACAAGGAAATGCAAATCAAAGTACACTGAGATTCCATCTCGGCTCAGTCAGAATGGCTGTCACAAAGAAACACAACAACAAAGGATGGCAAAGATGCAGAGATAAGTGATCCCTTATACACTGCCGGTGGGAACAGACACTAATCTTACCATTAGAAATCAGTAAGGATGTCCTCCAAAATACTAAAAGGAGGATTACCATACGATCCAGCTACCACTCCTAGGTATATACCCTGAGGAGTCCAAGTCATCACACCACAGAGACACCTGCACATCTAAATTTGCTGCAGCACATTCACAACAGCCCAGTTATAGACTCAGTCTAGGTGCCCATCAACAGATAATAAAGAAAATGTGTATCTACACAATGGACTTTTTACTCAGTCATAAAAAAGAATGAAATGATACCATTTACAAGAAAATGGGTGTAACTGGAAATCTTATTAAGGGACATAAGCCAGACTCAGAAGGACAAATAGGCTTTTCCTCCTTTGTGGACTGAAGTCTTTTTATGGATGCATGAATAGATAGATAGATAGATAGATAGATAGATAGATAGATAGATAGATAGATAGATAGATAGACAGATAGACTGATATGATATACAATATATGATATATCTGTGTGTGTGTGTATGTGTGTGTGTGTGTGTGTATGGGTATGTCCTGTATATGAGACATGAAAGCATAGGGAACTAGGGGCAAGGACACTCAGAGGAGAGGAAAAGTGGGAGAAGGGAGAAAGGAAAAGTTTGGGGTAGTGAATATGTTCTAAATATATGATATACTTGGAAGAAATTATTTTCATGAAGCTTAACACCTTCTGCAATGAATATACACCAATAAAGCATTTTTAACTGAGCTATTTAAAAAACATATTTCCTCGTGGGGTCCCAAAAGTTGGCCCTTATTATAGATTTAGTGATTATAAGTCAAGGTTAAAAAAACAAGTCTTACAAAGGTATTGGTGAGATTATTAAGGGCTTTTCCAAAGCTGTCATTGCAATTAGAAGTCAATGTGTCCAAACTACAGAATGCTTTAGCACTACCATACCATCTTAACCCAGTCAAAATACCAAAACTCAAAGAGTTTCTAAAATCAGTGGCCCAAGGAGGCAACAGCACTAACTAACAGTTACTTATAGAATATATTTCTGGACTAGGAGGCAAATTAGATTAGCTAATCCAAAGAATAGCAGTAGCTTTCAGACTACATACACTAAAGCAATTAGTTTAATAATTTATTAACACAAGAGATTTTTTTTTCTTGAGAAAGCCTTGCTATGTAGTCCTGACTAGCCTCAAACTCACATGAAATTATGTTCCTACCTTAGGTTCCTAGGCACCAGGGTTACAAGTGTGTGCAGCCTACTGTTTTAAACATTTTACCTCTTTCAGCATACTGACATGCAATCTAATATATCACATGCAACTCAACCCAAATACCCGCACATATACAACTCCTCAACTCTAAGAACTTTACAGTTTTTTTAATTATTTATTTTTATGTGCATTGGTGTTTTGCCTGCATGTATGTCTGTCTGAGGATCCCCTGGAATTGGAGTTACAGACAGTTGGGAGCTGCCATGTGGGTGCTGGGGATTGAACCCGGGTCCTCTGGAAGAGCAGTCAGTGCTCTTAACCGCTGAGCCATCTCTCCAGCCCCGAACTTTACAGTTTTGTTTTATGTTTTAAAGTTTGTTTTTTAAATATATACATGTGAGTACAAGGGCCTATGAAAGCCACAAGAGGGTGTCAGATTTCCTAGAGCTGGAGTTCCAGGTAATTACAAGCTTCTGTAAAACCAGAAACTCGGGTCCTCTGCAAAAGCAGTATATGCACTTAACAGCTGAGCTCTCTCTCCAGCAATAAAGTTTAATAACTCCATTGTTATATGCAACTTATTAAATGTACATCCACAAGCTAGGATGGCAGCTTCCTTACACTGATCACATCAGATATACTGCATTGTGAGTGATAATTTGATCATAAGTTTCTTTAGTCTCATTTCCCCTCCTTCACCCCAGTTCATTGGTCAATAATTACTGAAGTACACAACTGTACAGAAGCTACCCTTTTCAAATTAAAAAAAGTCATTATTATTGTACATGCATGTGTGTGTATGGGGGTGTGCTATGGTGTATGTGTGTCAGTCAGAGCACAGCTTTGCGAAGTCAGTTTTCTCCTTTACCTTTACATGGGTTCTGGGAACCAAACTCACCATGGTAGGTTAGCGCCTTTACCCACTGAGCAACCTTGCTGGCCCCATAAGCTACTCTTTCTCCAAACCCAGTGACAAAGGAAAAGACAATAGCTGGTTGAAGAGTAAAATAAACGAGTTTGTGGCTAGCTAAAATGGGGACTTATCCATCATGAAAGAAAACTCAATTACTCTTTAAATTCTTCCATGGATAATTTCCCATCTACCTGTTATTAAAATTCAAGTTTGAAAACTGTAAAAGAAAAATTCCATTCAAAAACTCCTAAATCATCCCTATTTTAAAATCAATCATTTCATGTTGGTGTTTACTTTCACGCGTGTGCTAAACGTAGAAACAGTTCCAGAAAAACGAAACTAGAACATTTGATTCAAATTTAAAGAATACCAAAAAATAGTTTAAAAGACAGGGAACTGCTAACTGCCCCAAATCCAGATAGCAGGCACTAAACATTGAAGAAAGAATTATGTAGCGTATGTAGCTAGACATCTAAAAGGCCCCTTGGTATCTTTAAGGACTACTACTCTGTGGCTACTGTAACATAAGGAACCCAAAAAACCCTAACCAAGACTGGGCCTGTGGCTCAGTCAGGAATGACTTGCCATAAAAGCAGGAGGAGCTGAGTCTGATCCCCAGAACCCAAATAAAAATATAAGGTGCAATGGAGCATGTCTGTAACCCTAGAGTTGGGGAGACAGAGACAGGAGTATTCATGGGCTCACTGCCCAGCCTGTCTAGCCTAACCGATAAGCAGCAAGTGAGAAAGCCTGTCTCAAAAGCACGTCTCGGGATGACATCAGAGGTTGTCCTTTGGCTTCCATTTGCACATCCACACACATGAACCCCCACACATATACAAGCCCCTCCCAACACACCCACTTACATCTACATATGCTATCAGTAAAGTTCTATTCTCGCGTCAAACGTCAGCTCTGGAGGGCCTGCTCACAAAAGGTCATCACAGCTGAGCCTGTGGACTATTTTACCTTCCCTCACAGGAGGAGGGGTGAGAGGGGGTCAAGGGACCCTCACCTGAGTATCCAGCCACCACCACACACACACCCACAACCAGTGTATGATAGATACAATTATCCCAAGTACATGTGGTCTTGGAGGAGGGGCTAGAGTAACAGGATGAAGGGAGGGAGTTCCATCTATGAAGCCCTTGGAGAAGCAATGCAGACCTTCTACTGTGGCTGCTCTGCTCCTGCCGTAACCCCTGACCCACTACTCTGTAAACCTAATAAACTCAATGCTTCCCCCAGGGAACTTGGGTGGCATCACACCTGTTTGTCAATGAGACCTTAGCAGAGGTAGAATGTCTCTCTCAGGGAAGGAATTTTAGCAACAAGAGCATACACACACATTAAAAAAAAATACAGAAAAATAAATCCAAACCCCAAAGGCCATACCTTTATCTGCATCATAGGACCCCTGCTCACCTCCATTTTCTACAATCCTTCCGGGAAGTGTTAATCTGCAGATTTAACACAAGGTCAGTGATCACCAATCACAGTATATCTGTAGCCATCAAAATCTATCAACCATTTGAATGGCAATTTTTCAGCACTTCCTTCACATTTTACAAGCTAAATAACTTAGATTCCTTCTTCAACTAAGAGAGTAAAAATCAAAGATTCCGCATTGGAATAGCTTTCCATTTGAATAGCTACCAATAACCAGATTTGGGCGGGGGGGGGGGGGGGGGGGGCCTCACAATAAACCTAAGTTATCAAATGCAATTATGTTTGTACTGCTTTAACTTAATTTGTAAATAAACTGACATCTAAGGTTTGTAGGTATAGCGAAAATAGTTTACACATGGTTCATTACTATCCACGGTGTCAGACAGATACCCATTGAGGAGTCTTGGAAATACCTTCCACGGGGTGTGATCCCACTGGATTTTTCAAGCTGCCATGCTAGTTAATATCTACTGTGGTACCCGCATGAGCAGTGAAGAAACTAGCTTGAATGCACTGAAGGGCTCAATTGAAAAGCAGAGGGAAGGCAGCTGACGTTCAGCGAGTTTAGGAAGAAGACTCTCGCAGCGTCCACTGCACTGAGGGGGCCACCAGTACTGCCTAACTCAGAGGACGGCTATCAAAATCAAGATGACGCACACACGAACCCTTAAGACGCTGCCTCCTGCCTACACACCGAAGGTGCCCCCAGTGTCAGCTGCCACTACTGTTTCGGTTCAACGCGGAGAAAAATCAGCGCACAGTACAGCTCGCCTCTCACGGCAGCCAGGCAGAAATTGGCTCAACTGATGCGAAGGAAACCTGAAAACTGGAGGAGGCAGAGGGCAGTCCGCCAGGAGGCGGACACGGCAAGCAAGCATGCCGGCTTGTGTCAAAACACCGACCCACGCGGGGAAGTCACCACGCGGGGAGAGGCGCGGGCGTGCAGCGCAAGAACAGCACAGGTCAGGGAGGGTCGAGGGTGACGGGACAGACGCTGGGTGGGCGGCCCCGCGCTCTGTGCCGAGATCCGCAGGTGCGGAAGCAGGCGATTCCGCCGCAGGTCGACCGACCGATCGCGCGCCAGGGAGAAGCCGCGGGCCGAGGCAGCAGCGAGAGAGCCGCGAGCGCGTCCGCGGGGCGCGGGTTCAATCGCGAGCGCGGGCTCCTGAATAAACGCAGTGCGCCGGCGGCGGGGACTCGCCTCAGAAAGTACGGCTTGGCGTAGAACTTGAAGTCCACCCCCTCGAAGTACACGTCGAACTCGGAGACGCGCGCGTGCGGCACGCGGATGGCGACCGTGAGGAAGTCGCGGTCCTGGCTCAGCTCGAACGCGGGGGTCAGCATCGCAGCGCAAGCCTGGAGCCACCCCGGGCCGGCTCCGCACGCTCCGAGTGCCCAAGCGCCAGACCCACGCCGTTTGCCTCGGCGCTTCCGGCCAGAGGCGGAAGTGGGTGCGCGTGGGGCCGGAAGTCCCGTCCCGCGCCAGTCTCCTTGGAGACGGGGACGCTTTCTCTGGCTAGGCGGAGTTTTCAAACTGACTAGAAAGCGAAAAGATGCCCTGGAGCCAGGCTTGTTGGACTTCAACTGAGGGAATTTTTGGAAGAACTGGAAATCTAACCGGGAAATGTGCGGACTAACAGGAACACGAATTCACTTTAGACTCACTTAAGGGCCTATGGAGAGGCTTAGAAATTATTTTAATCGCCTCAGTTTTTCAAGTCAACAAAGTGTTTTTGAATTCCTGTGCGGACATTTCCCAGTTGTATGACTTTAGGAAAACTACAAAACTTCTCTATACTTCAGAAACCTCTACTATAAAAGGAGGATACTATTAATACAGCCTCAGATGCTGCTAGGATAGCATGAAGTTATCCAGGAGGAACGCTGTACCCTTCAAGTTGCCAGCACTCACCAAGTAGGCGCAGGTTCTGCAGTAGTCAAAGCGACTTACATCGCCCCTCCTTACAAGGTTTCGTTCAGTTCTCACTTGAAGACTATCGTCTCCTCCCTCAGCGTCTTCTCCCCCTTCTTTATCCCTTATTTGAATGGTTTTTCTCATTAACAAAGCATCCATCCTCTAATTCAACCCACACTACAAACTGTAGGGTAAAGGGGCCAGCCAAAGAAACACACTTTGGCCCTGAAACCAGAGCCAAAGAAACAATACACCCCTAAAAAGCCTCCTATAATCTCTGGGCTGTTCAGTTTGTGGCTGCCTTTTTCCACCCTGGCAGAGGCAGCCATTCTCCTGGATTCTTCCCTCCCAATAAACCTCTTGAATGAGGTTTGGGTACGACCTTTTGCCAGAGTGGAGCGGAGCCGAGAAGTAACAACTTTTGCTTTAGAGCCTGAGCGGAGAAGAGCAGAGCAGAACTGGGAAAACCTTCCTTCAGGCAGAGCAGAGTTGTTACTCTCTGGGGGACCTGAGCAGACCTGTAACAACTTGGCTGGGGAAACCCTCCCCTGCTGGAGCAGAGTTGTTACATTGGGGAAACCTTTCCCTGGAGCAGGGCTGCAAGGCTTATGATGACTTTGTGGTATTCCTTGGTTCCTGACTGCCAGGATCCCTTTTCATCCGAGCTGCAATGCTTACACAAACTCCAAGGAAAGGTGGGCGAGCAAACAGGATCAGCATCCAGATGCCTTGTCAGTGCCCACTCAAGAATTGTGCTTCCTCTTTATTTACCCCGTTTCATTTTTCTCTATTTTCCTACACATGTTGGAAGCTGTCTTTTGTCTTTTTTTTTTCTTTACTTATCTCCACTTTATTCTTTTGAGTTCCTCTGTGATTCTCACTCTCCCAATGCCTTTCTCACTAGTTTCCCTCTTCCTTCATGTATTCTCTTGGGCTTCCTTCCTTCTCATTTCTTTTACTTCCAGGAACTAGCACAGTCCAAATCTAGTATTGCACTGGTTAGTTTTATGTCAACTTAACACTAGCTAAAGTAATTTGAGAGGAAGAAACCTCAATTAAGAAAATGCCAGCTAGGCAGTGGTGACGCATGCCTTTAACCCCAGCACTTGGGAGACAGAGGCAGGCAGAGCTCAGTGAGTTCGAGGCCAGCCTGGTCTACAAAGTGAGTTCCAGGACAGGCTCCAAAGCTACACAGAGAAACACTGTCTCAAAAAACCAAAAATAAGTAAGTAAATAAATAAATAAATAAAAGACAGAAAATGTCTCCATAAGATCAGGCTGTAGGCAAGCCTGTAGGGTATTTTCTTAATCAGTGATTGATGGGGGAGGAACCTGCCCTTTGTGGGTGATGCCATATCAGGGCTAGTGGTCCTAGGTTCTATTAAAAAGCAGGCTGGGCAAGCCATGAGGAGCAAACCAGTAAGCAGCAATCCTCCGTGGCTTCTGCATCAACTCCTTCCTCCAGGTTCCTGCCATGTTTGAGTTCCTGTCCTGATTTCCTTCAATGATGAACATCGATATGGAAGTGGAAGCCAAATAAACCCTTTCCGTCCCAGTTTGCTTTGGTCATGGTGTTTTATCACAGCAAGTGATTAAACTTAAGACAAGTATAATTCCCTGTTTGTGAATGTTAGTGGAATAGCTGGGCTCAGTGTCTTGCACCTGTCATCTCCGCACACACAGGAGGCAGAGGCAGGAGGACTGTGCAAGGTTTAGACTAGCATCATCTATATAATGAGTTCCAGCCAGACCAGGTGTTCCAGTTGGCTTTTCTACTGTGATAAAAAAAAACCATGCCCAAAAGCTCCTTGGGAGGGAAAAGGCTGGTTTAGTTTATACTTCCAGGTAACAAAGCATCAGCCAGTGAAGCCAAGGTAGGGGTTTGAGCAGGAAGTGAAGCAGTGACCATGGAGGACCACTGCCTGCTCAGTTTCCCCTATATAAGCCAGGACCGTCTGCTCAGGGGTGGTACCACCCAAGCAGGCTCTGGGCCTTCCCGCCTCAATCACTAATCAAGAAAATGCCCCTGTAGATTTGCCTACAGGCCAATAGGACAGACATCTTCTTAATTGAGGTTCCCTCTTCCCAGATGACCCAACTTGTACCAAGTTAATAAAAATAAAAAATAAAAATAAAAAATAAAACTAACCAGCCCCCTGGGCTACACAGTGAAACTCTGTCTCGAGACAACACTAACAAGAACAAAAACAGATAGTAAATACAAGTGAAAGGGTTTAAGTCACATCTTATGACAGGAAAGGTCCCCAGAGAGCCACAAAAGCCTTCTTGACATCTGGCTTTTTATGATTCTCAGGAAGCAATTTTGACATTTAATTGGGACTCAGAAAAAGATATTAGCAGGCCTCCACATTGGTTGGATTCCTGGCTATGTAGTGGAACCACAGTCACCTTGTTCTGATTTCTTCTTTCCTTTCCTGGCAGCTCGATGAAGAAGCCATTTATATTCTGTTCACTTGCATAGAGTCACACAATTTGTCAGAGGCTCAGTGGGAATTGGAACCAAGGTTAGTCTCATTCCTAGGTACACTCTCCAAACCACTTTTGAAACCTCTAATATTACCACTTACATCTTGGTTTCATACTCTAAGGCCAGGCCTGCCAGCTTTAGACCATATGAATCCTTAAAAGTAATAGATAGTCAATTCTGACAATGAATTGATGACAATCTGGGATTAGTAAAGCCCTTGAAAGATTCCCCTGAGATAGCCTCTGGCCAATTACTCCAAACTCACTTCCTTAGAAAGAATCATTATATCTACCATGGGACCTCATTCCTGTAGGTCACAAGCATTAATATTTTTAATTATTCATGCCATGGAATTAAATGAAACAAGCTCTGCTATCCAGCTCTGCTAACTTAAAACACTTTACAGTTCATGTTGAACTTTTCCTGAATAATTGATTATATATTTTGCAGACAGAGATGGGAGAGAGAGAACGAATAAGTACTAGCACATAGGAAAACAGGCTATATGGTTCAATACTCTTGTTCTGTAGTAGGAATTTACTATATCTACTGTATCTCGGAAATAATTATGATTATATAATGAGGGAAAGGAAGAGGAGTTTGCTTCCTTTCTTTTTCTTTGTAAACAATTTTCTTTATTTTTTTATTTTAATTTTATATGTATAGGTGTTTTACCTGAATGAGTATCTGTACCACTTGTGTGCCTACAGCCTGTGGAAGCCAGAGGAGAGCATCAGGTCCTCTAGAACCGGAGTTACAGACAACTGCAAGCCACCACGTGGGTGTCAGGAATTGAACCCGGATCCTCTGGAAGAGCAGCAGGTGCTCTTAAATGCTGAGCTGTCTCTCCAGCTCCCAGTTCACTTTATTTTTGCATTTATTGTTAGTGCTAAACTATACAAATTATACATTCATTTTCCCTTTAAAAATGTAAAGTTCTTTTTTAGCTAATGTCCAACTTTGGCTCTCTCTCTCTTTCTCCAAAGGTAATTCTTCCACCTGTCTTTGCAGGCTTCTTTATATTTCTACAGACATTTCCATTATGCCCTGAATTTGTATTTAGACCCACTTCATAATTTTTCCTTACCGAGGACCAGTATATAGCCTGTCATCTCTGTTTACATTAAATTATTCCCTCTTCTAGTCTGACGAATATGATTGTGGCCAATGAGCTTCAAAATTAAACATTAAATTTAAAAGACAAGTTCTTCCAAAACAAAATTTTTGTTTGTTTTACTTTTTATTGAAAATAGATTGTTTTCTCACACAATATACCGGATTACTATTTTTCCTCCCTGTACTCCTTCCAATTTCTCCCCATCTTCCCTCCCATCTGAATTCACTCCCCTTCTGTCTCTCAGTAAAAGAGAACAGGCTTCTAAGAGACAACAATAAAATAAAACAAAACAAAATATAACAAGATAGAGAAAAAACTATCACATTGGAGTTGGACGAGACAAACCAACAGAGGGAAAAGAGCCTAAGAGAAGGCACAATAATCGGAGACCCACTCATTCACACGCTCAGGAGTCCCAGAGAAACATTAAACTGGAAACCATAATATATTCGCAGAGGGCTTGGTGCAGACCCGTGCAGGCCGTGTGGATGCTGCCTCAGTCTCTGTGAGTTCAAATGAGCTTTGCTGTACTGCATGGTCTCCAAATGGTGAAATACCCCTTGCATCCAGAAGGTGGCGAGCACCTACGTGATTAAAACAATGCTAACTCAAACAGCAGACTGTAACCTTGGAGTTTAAAGTAGATAAGGCTGTTTACACCTATTTGCAGATAAGGCTGTTCATTCTCTGAGCAATTTAGGGGAAGGTAGCAATCTTCTTACACAGAATTTTCAAAGTAAACCACTATTACTGTGTTTCATTTTATTATTTTTATTACCTTAAAATTTTTATTACTTTCTTAAAAAAACAACATCGCAAGAAGTAGGCCAGGCTCCCCTTAAACTCACTATGCAGCCTAGGCTGACCTCAAACTCACAGCAATTCTCCTGCTTCTGCCTTGAGCTCTGAGATTGCAAGGGTAAGCCACCACACCCAATAGGCCCTGTTAACTTTTTGATAGAAACCTTTTAAACTTTTACTCTATTCAAAGAAACACAAAGATGTTTTTAAAACAAAAAAAAGGTACCATGCTGTATACTTCTTTTTCAATTAGCATAGCATTACAGTATCTCCCTTTTATTATAACCTTGCTAGATATAGACTTATACATAATTGTATCCTTCTTAGTTCTTAGCATTAATATTGGTATTTTTAAAAGAGAAGTGAGCAAAGCAATGATTCATTTTTAGAAAGGACAAAAAAAGAAACTAATGCTAGAACCATGAGCACAGATTACAAAACTAGTTCAAGAAGGAAATAGTTAAAAATGCCAACTAAATTATTCTTTTCCTTGGGATGCCATTTTTTGTTTGAGACTGGGACTCACCCTGTATTCACAGGACTCCTCCTGCCTCAGCCTCTGAGATAGTGGAACTACAAGACATGAGCCAAAACAATTAGGCTAGATTAGGTAATGGTTGGGTAAAGACACAGGCAGCCAATAGATAAATGTAGTCTGGTTAAAGACGCTTCAGAACAGTGGTAAAGGATGCTGTGGAGGTCTGAATGAGAAGGGCCCTCCCATAGGCTCATATATTTGAATGTTTGGTCACCAGTTAATGGAACTATTTAGAAAGGATTAGGAGGTGTGGCTTTGTTGGAGGAAGTGTATCACTGGGGGTGGGCTTTGAGATTTCAAAAAGCCCATGCCAGGTCCAGACTCTGTCTGTCTCTGTCTCTCTGTCTCTGTCTCTCCCACCCTCTCTCTCTCTCTCTCTTCTCTCTTCACCTCTTGCTTGTGGATTAGATGTAAGTTCTCAGCTTCTGCTCCAGCACCATGCCTTGCCTGCCGATGCCCCACTCTCCACCATGATGATCATGGACGAATGCCTTGAAACTGTAACCAAGCCCTCATGAAATGCTTTTATTTCTAAGTTGCCTTGGTCATGGCGCCTCCTCGCAGCAATAGAACAGTAACTAAGACAAATACAGACACACACACACACCACGAGTGTGGCACTGGCAATGTCTCCAAAGGCTTTCAAAGCCCCATTTAATTTAGGGGTAGCTAGGTTTGTTCCTTACCTCGATCCTTCAGTCCATTCCAGCCACAGTTGTAAGCCCTGAGCTTGTTCAGGGGTACTGAGTTAGTAGTGGATGTTTCAGATGGGATTTACTTCAATTTTAACTTTATAAAAAGTCAGTGACCTCTGAAAGAGATCCACAATGTCTATAGCTGTCTGTTTGATCTTAGGGCTTAGCAACATACCTATCAGGAAAGTGATTGCACTCTGTCAGGCGAAGGCCAGGCTCCTACAGATATGATAGAAGGAGAGTTGTTGCTTAATGTCATGTTTCTAAGGGACAGCTGTAGAAGGTGCCATTGGAAGACCCTGCCTAGATGCCCCTAATGAACTAGGAGCCAGTAGGTCTGTTCCTAACAGCAGATGTTGTAAATGACTTGTCCCAGGTCCCTTTTTCAAGGAATTACCCAAGCCCCAGAGTTTTTTCACCTCAGTTTTGAGGCACTCTACTGGTTATTTCCCTCACTGCTGCAACAAAATACCTGACCACCCCCCCCCACACACACACACACACAAATCTGTTAAAGTAGTAATTCTCAACCTGTGGGTCATGACCCCTTTGACAAACCTCGACCTCCCAAAATATTTACATTAGGATTTATAACAGTAGCAAAATTACAGTTATGAAGAGCAGGGAAAATAATTTCATAATTGGGGGTCACTACAACATTAACTGAATCAGAGGGTTGCAGCATTTTGGAGGTCGAGAACCACTGCATTAAAGGACCAGCAGCCCAAGGGTCCTGTCCATCACGGCAGGAAAGTTGTAACAGCATTTGGACGCTGTGTCCACAGTGAGGACGCAGAGAGAGAGAAATGGAGATGCTCTGCTTACTTTCTCCTCCACGTGCAGTCTGAGACCCCAGCTCCCTGAACAGTGCCTCACTTACGATAGGTCTTCCCACCCTAACTAACATAGCGTAGAAAATACCTCACAGACATACCCAGAGGTGCCGTGACGACTCTCATCAAGTCAACAATCAAGATTAGCCAGCACAGTCCATGTGGCGGTTTCAGTGAGACATGTCCCCCATGGGCTCATGTATTGAACACTTGGTCCCCAGGTGCTGGTGCTTTGGGGGGAAGTTATGGAACCTTGAGGAGTACAGCCATTCTCCAGGAAGATGTTACTGGGGGCAGGCTTTAACAACTTATAGCCTCACCCTACTTCCTGTCCCCTGTCTGCCTCTCTGTCTCCTTCCTGTGTGTGGATGAATTATGATCAGCCAGCCTCCTGTTCCTGCCACCACACCATGCCTTCTGTACCGTTATAAACACTCCCTTTGGAACTATTGACTAAAATAAACCCCTTCTTCCCTTAAGTTGATTTTGCTCAAGGGGTTTGTGGTGGTTTGAAAGAAATGGCCCTCAAAGGGAAGTGGCACTATTAGGAGGTGTGGCCTTGTTGACATAGGTGTGGCCTTGCTGGAGGAAGTGTGTCACGGTGGAGGCGGGCTTTGAGGTCTCATATGTGTTCGAGTCAGGCCCAGTGAGTCAGTGCACTTCCTGCTGCCTTTGGATCAAGATGTAATGAGCCTGAATTTTAAATGGTCTTATTAATAAAAACAAACCCAGAGCCAGGTATTGGGGTGAACACTGAAAGATCAGAGAGAAAGAACAGGCCACAGCTAACCTCACCTCACCAACTTCTCAGCCGATCCTGTTTCCTCAGACTGGAAGCCTCTGAGTCCTCATCCAAATGGATCTCAGCTGAACTGCTGCTAAAAGCCTGAAAGCTTAACCAGGCTCTAGATCCTGGTCCTCATGCCTTATATACCTTTCTGCTTCCTGCCATCACTTCCTGGGATTAAAGGTGTGAGTCACTATGCCTGACTGTTTCCAGTCTGGCTTTGAACTCACAGAGATCCAGGTGGATCTCTGCCTCTAGAATACTAGGATTAAAGGTGTGTGTGCCGTCATTTTCTGACCTCTATATCTAGTGGCTGTTCTGTCCTCTGACCCCAGATAAGTTTAATAGGGTGCACAATATATTAGGAAACACAGTATCACCACAATGTAAGGACTCTAAGCTCCAGCACTTTGCCTGGATGCTGCCTTGCTTCCTGCCATGATGATAATGGACTGAACCTCTGAACTGTAAGGGAGCCACTACAATGAAATGTTTTCCTTTGTAAGAGTTGTTGTTGTTATGGTGTCTCTTCGCAGCAATAGAAACCCTAAGACAGTGTTTTATCACAGCAACAGAAAAGTAACTAATACAACCCCTTGGGGAGGGGAATTTCTCGTGTTTGAGAACGAGTCCTTGAGATTGGTGGAAGCCCTGCTAAAGACCAGCCACGACCCCAGACTCACAGCTGTAATGCCTGTGTGTGGTACAGAGGATCCCTTCAAGGGGAAGGTGGTTCAGTGGTGTGGTCTATTCCAGAGTCCCTTATGTGATCGGGTCAGAGTTGAGTTTTCCCTCTGCCCAGATCACTGTGGCCTTTCTTCCCTTCCCTTCCCTTCCCTTCCCTTCCCTTCCCTTCCCTTCCCTTCCCTTCCCCTCATTCCCTTTCTCTCTTACAGCTTTCTCCAGAGAACCTTCCCTTGACAAATTATATCAAGTTCCCTATCCCCAGTTTTGTTTCTAGGAAATCTAACCTATGACCAAGT